TGTATTATGTGAGGATGTCTTTTGTATTTTACATACACATGAAGACTCTCAACATTACAGTTAAAAAGAATAACTCATTTTTGGAGCCCGTATTCCCAGGGCTCAAGAACATGAGATTAATCTGCTTCTGATGAGTTCACAGGTTTATTTTATTTTTAATTTTTTTATTACAAGGATTCAGTATCTGTTCTGTGGACTTTTAGACCCAATTTGATGCTGTATCATACAGGAAAATGACCAGGAAGGCAGTGGCAAACACCACTGACTGATTGCTTAGACCCTGGGGCAGTAGTTCTTGGTTTACCACATGTATCAGAATCATCTAAAAAGCATAATGTGTTTTCAAATTTTGGCTGTATTTCCAGGGATTCTGATTCAATTGTTCAGGGAGTGGTTCTCAGGAATCTGCATTTTGACAAGTATAATAAACCAAAATGTTAACTTTATTGTAGGTTATGCAAGAATCACATAAACATAAGCATTGACCTAACACAAGTGCCTCCATCTGTAGCATAATCAGGAAAACCATGAAATCAAAGGAGAATAATCTTTGGAGAAGAAATGGATATTATTAATGGAAGGATGCCAGAGTACTTTGTTCATTTTATTGAGGTTAAGGGAGATTTTTTCTTAATCTTTGATCTTAGAAGGTGATGGATGGTATGAGAACCAAAATGTCTGGCTTTAGATATGGGCCCCACCATTTATTAAGTATCTCAAATGCATGTTTATATTTGGATAGCCTTGACTTCCATTGATGAGACACTTAATACCACTAATTAAAAGTGATCCCAAAGGTCATCATTGATTTGTAAAACTGATGATGCAAAACTTTTGCCTGTGTACTTCATGAAGAAGGTGTGTAGAGGTATGATTTACTTAAAGATTAATTTTAGTGAACTATGCAGCATATTTATTTCAACACAGGATATTTTGTGTGTAATGATCCTCATGAACTGATAAAAACTTATTACTTTGTGAAAGATAATGACCAAAATAATAGGGAAAATACTGGAGATATTGAACAGTCACTAATATAGTCAGAATATATATAAAAGGAAAAAGGGTTTTCAGGGAAAATGGGAGGCAAGAGAAATATGAGGGGGTACAAATATGTAAAATTTTATGAAGTTTAGATTTTTGAAATCAAGAACAGTTTTTATGTCTCACCATTTTTTTTTTCAGCTTTGATACCTGAAAATGAACAGTTTGGGAAGACAGAAGATTTTCCTTGCATAGAACTAGGCTAGGTAAACATCCTTGATGTTACCAGGAAAGTTATAATATCTGTCAATCTACCTGTTCTCTGTCTCATGCTCAACAAGATTAGTTTTAGGAGTATTTGGGGGTGTAACACTATCTGAAACCGAATGAAATTATGCGGGATCATTTCCCCAAATTTCCTTAAGGTCCATACTTCTATTAAAGCAGTGGTTCTCCAAGTGTGGTCCCTGCAGTGGTGTTTGCTGGCAATCTGTTGGAAATGCAAATTCTCAGGCCTTACCCCAAGAACTACTTAATCAGAAATCCTGAGGAGGTCCCACCAATCTAGAACTGAACAAATCTTCTATGTGTTGTGATATATGCTGCCTTTCTCCTCAAAATTCTTAACATATATAGCTAAGAATATCAAAGTGATACCAGTCTGAGAAGCCCTGGAGAATACTGAAGTTGACTAAATGCTAAGGAAAGGGATAGCTGAAGAAAATGGCCTGGAAGGACTGAAAATAAAAAGGTAACAGGCAAGGAGTAGATGGAGATGTCAGACTCTGAACAGCACACAGGACAAAAGTGAACCTTACTGGAGATGCTAGAGCAGTGGCAACACTGTGACTATTGTCCTCATCATCATCTTTGTAGCCTCACTGTCATAATCACCATCATCACCATCATCACTGCCACCATCACCATAGCCATCACCATCACCACCAGCACCACTATCATCACCACAATCACCACCAGCACCACCATCACCATCACCACCATCACCACCATCACCACCATCACCATCATCACTGCTGCCATCACCATCACCACTATCATCACCAAAATCACCACCAGCACCACCAGCACCACCATCACCACCATCACCAGCATAACCATCACCATCATCACCATAATCACCACCATCATCACCTTATTGGGTAAGAACATGTGGTCTTTAAACACCAGGCTAGGGGCTTACATAGATCACAGAATTCTGTCCTTACAATAAATTAGGAGGATTTAAAATTTAATTTAATCTCTGTTTCACATATGACAAAACTGAGCCTTCAAGAAGTTAATTGGTTTACTTTGAAATTTATTTAAGTATCAAGAAGGAAAACTGCAATTTGTAGCAGGCAGTGTAACTGCAAAGCCCCTCTTCCTAACTGCTATTCTTTAGTCATTATCTCATAGCATCTGTGAGCTAAACATGGCAAGGAAAAAACTATTTATTTAATGACTAGATAAGTTGGATTTGCAGAAAACATGGATGGTGAGCAAGTCAGAACTTGAAAAATTCAAAAGACCCTTATATTTGGAAGGAAGGTGCTTTGAGGCTAGAGGAAAGAAGGATGCCAGCCATGCCTAGAAGCCAGATCTCTGATGTGGTAAAAACATAGAGTTGAGACATGGAGGAGGAAGCAGTGTGGACAAAGAGAGAGAATGGCTGGAACCAGTACTATAGTCACAAAGTTGAATGGCCTAAGGGAAGTTGATCAGCCATCTGGTGCCAAATATCAAATGTCAATATCCATTTAATTGTCTAAAAATATCCCCCTGTGTGACTCAGGCTCAACGAGGAGATGACCCTTTCTTCATCTCCCTTACCAGCATAGAATTCAGGCTCATTTTTTCTTTCAGAGCAATATGGTTAAAAATAAAATACCATAATACCCTGAATCAGACAGACAGAGGTTTGAAACTCTATTGTAACCAAGAGAGAGCTTTGGGCGGACTCCTTATTATCTATGAATTTTAAGCTTTGCATTTTCATAATAAAGTTATTAACACCTACTTAATAATAGTATTATTGGAATAAACAAGACAATGAACAAACAGTACTGGGTGCTTGGTTGGTTCTTCTCCATTCTTTAATATTAAGTTAAATTTAAGTTAATTTTACTTGTGTTCACATTGTATGGAGTTGTACACAATATGACCTAATAGTTCTAGTGCTACCCGTCTCAGGATGGTCATGTTTATAGCTAAAATGTACATAGATGAAATAAGAAAAAAGGGGAAGGGCTTTAGACATCTGTTGCTCAGAGCTCAGACTTTAATATAAATTCAGTAGTTCGTAACAAAAATGTTCCATTCCAGTAGAAAGTGTTTCAGATTTGATTCCTAGTCTGATTGGCTCCAAACTAGTCCACGAATTCTCTGTGTGACGGTGAGCAAGTAACCCAAATTTAATGAACTGTTTCCTCATCTGGAAACCAAGGAATATGATATTAATATTGCCCAATTTTATTCAGTATAGAATGATACACATTTTGTAGTTGTAGTCTATAGTGGCTTTCCAATGATATTAAAGGCTGTAAGTGCATTAAAACTGTTCAGGAATTTCATAATATAATCTGTACTACAGGGCCTTCAGCAACTAGTTATGTCTTCTCCTTTTGTCATTGAATGAAGTAGAACTTCTCTTTTTGCTCTGAGGTGTGTGTGTGTGTGTGTGTGTATGTGTAAACTTGTGATTTAAGGGAGCTGGTAAATTAACCACTTACATATTTACACATCTCTAATTAGGTTTACACATTTAAATGGACTGCCTGAAATCCCATCTCTGGTGTCTCTTGTAAGGGAGCTCAAGTATTCTCTACTAAACTACAAGGAAAGCATCTTGTGCTCTGACTGATAGAAACTTTGCAAGTTAGTAGACATGACTTTTACAAGCAATAAAATGAAGCTGTCAGCCATTGCACATGGACCAAGATAGAGGTTACATGACTAAACCACCCTTGCAGCAGGCAGTCTCTGATGTATTTCACTCCAGTTTCGATCTATTAATCAGACGAGTTGAGAGAGCAATAATTCAAACACTGCAATAATCAATTTCATAACACATTAATAGAAGCTACAGTCAAACTTTCCCAAACCACTGACTGCATTGGAATCTTGACAGGAGCTCTAGGGCCATGCCTAATTTGCATTAAATTTACATAAAATTGTAAATCAAGAGTACATGAACACAGCCCTAATATTTGTTAGTGCTTAGATCATTCCTGATAGATGGACTGAAATTGCTGGTGGTTTGACTTCATTTGCAATAAAATTGTGCAGCTGATCAGCTTTGTCCTCATTCTGCAATTATGGGAAAGGGGCCCAAGAGAGCCATAGTTTGGGGTGTGTGTATGCCATTTAGAGTTTTCACTCTGGAAAACCATGACTCAGATGTAACCTTGGGAACCTCATTCTGGAAGCAGATTGTCCTTAGGGACTTTGCAGATCCTTGTCACTGGGTTTGCTCACACATGCACTGTAGCATTAAGTGGAGATACAGACTACAACGAAAGCTGGCCAACTGAGAGGATGTAACGCCTCTGGCAGCTTTTTTTTCCCCAAACAACATTTACTATCATAAAAACAGATAATTAGCAACAGTTTTTAGGCTGCAAACAGATAAAATCAAACCTTCAGTAAAGCATCTAATATCTAACAGTGTGATAAAGTGGACTTCACATGGTTCTAAGCATTTTGTGTGTTCTTATGTCTCAGTTTGAACTTATTCCAAAAGCTGTAGGCTTTGCTGTGTGATTTTTTACTCAGGGCTAGGAGAATATATTCTCACCAAGAGAAGTGGCTCACAGTACAAGACTCCTCTTTCTATATTCTCCTTAGTCCTTCTATTATAAGTCTACCCTTAAAGAGAAAAAATAAATACTTAAATGCAATACAGTATTTGCAAGGGTTATTTTTTTTCCAGAAAGGATTTTGAAAATAGTTTGAATATCATGATGATTCTGTGTCTTTCTACTCTCCCTTACCACCCATCTATGTCACCCATTTCTTACCTTGCACAATCAAGTAAACTTGAGAGGTCTTGGGTTCATGCTGTGTCTGAACCGAGCAAGTGTAGGAACCTTCATCATAGACATCCACCTTCTGGATTCGGAGGCTGTATTCCAGAGAATGGCGTTTCTCCAGCTCAACCCGGGGGTCCAGAGACCACTTGTCATGCCCAGCAAAAATGATGCCAGAACGGTTCAACCAGGCTACCTTTGAGTTCTTGTCTTCTACGACGCACCTGACAAAACAGAAAAGTAACATTAGAGCCTGAGCCATACCTGCATGTGCATTCATTCTTTACCTGAATCTCCACTCAACAAGACTAGCCAAGAAAAATAATTACATGTAGGATGAACCATTGTTGTGCCATTTCATAGAGACCGAAGTATTGTCACTATTTCTCCTTTAATATCTAATTATTGTCCAATGGATGGACATCATTATATTAGACTCAACTTGGCAATAAACAATCAGCATGAAAAATTCAGGCTAATAAAGTTAAATAGGTATTGATTTCCCACTGGGTTATCTTCTTCTTGTCTAGGAAAAGGTTATGTGCACAGAACTCCATCTGTTTAAACAACTTGGAGAATTAGTTGATTGATAGTGTAGCACATTTACTCAGTTTAACTGTATTTAATATTTTATAGTATTGCCTAAAGTTGTGTGAGGGTAGATTCAAGTTATGCCCCACAGCCATTACAGTTTGGCTAGATTTCAGAATTCACTTCCAATCCTTATGAATTTGTAATACCCACACCCTGAAGTGAGAAATGCATGATAAGAGAGAGTCGAAGAGTGAGTGGATAGGTGTTGTGTCAAGGAGATCAAAGCTAGCATCATCTCGCCTAAGTCTGTTTCCAGCTACTGAGGGCAGAAGGTTATTTGCCTGCAAGACAGCTTCCTCCCAGCATTACTGGTTATTGGAATGAATTCAATCTTTTACGGGAGAAGAAGAAACCAATCTTGTAGCTCCTATTTCAAGGAAAGCGAAAGAAGAAAATGCTTATTTGAATGATTACTTATTTTAGAAACCTAGAAGGCTCTCTTTCTGAAACTTGAAAGGAAAAGGGAAAGAATGCAGACTATTGGAGAAAAGATAAATACTTTGCTGCACAGTTTTCTCCTTCAGTTCCAGCAAGAATCTAGAAATGGAAAAATCAGGCAAACAGAGACCTTCTCTCTGTATCCCTGTGACAAGATTGATGTCTGCCTTATAGGGAGATTGTTCCAGACCCTGCTCACAGCTGCAGAGCCAGCTGCTCAGCACTCTGAGGCAGGAGGGATGGACAGGAGGAGCCAGGAGCATGACAGCAGAACAATTAAAACATGCTGTTTCCCTGTATTTTCCAAACTGAGTCAAATCCAGGTTTTTTCTGAGGTCAAAACAGGCAGTCATAGGGATTCCACGACCATGCATTGACAGGAAATTGATGCATTACCCAAAGGCTGTCCATGTAGGTATACAGAGAACAACTCAACTCTCTGAAAAGAAGAAAAGTTGAACTTTTAAAAAATACCTTACCCATAGTACAAAGGACCTCCTTATACCATTATATTCAGGTGAATTGTATATTTTATTTAACATGAGAATTTTATTACTTGGGTGCCATGATTTGCAGGTTTTTTTTCTTTTTCACCTACTCATTTTCATTGACATAAGTAGATTAATGTATCATTTAGAACCTTCATTACCCATTATGTGTCTCTCTGCCATGGAGATACTGCTCAGATTAACTATATGTGTTCAATACTTTAGAACTTCTCCATGAGAATGTGCAAAGCTACCTTCATGGATGGTTGTTGCTTTATTCCAGCTTGATTTTTTTTTTTTGACTTCTACTTTTCTCGTTCTATTTTTTTTGTGGCATTGTTTCTCTATCTGTGGTGGTGTTTGTGGCATTTCTCAACTTAGAGTCATTTACGAATTATTTAATAAGCTGTTTATAAGCTGTTTGTTGCCTTCTAGATTAGGAATAAAATTGCTGATATGGACTTTACTTTTCTACTTAGAATAGAAATTTATCTCTGTACCTACATGAGTGGTACTCTGAATGTTTTTTATCCCAGAATATGACCCTAATATATTCATTTTGGAAAACATACTGATATATTTTTACATAAATATGGCCAAAGATCAAATAAAGACTGATATTTTTGCCTTATTCATTAAAGCACCTCCCAAAATAAGTCTGGTATAAAAGAGACATCTGGTAAATGCTTGTCATGTGAATGAACAGTGTCACACATGCAAACAGAGGAGATGTGGTTACCTATATTCCACACCCCTTTTCCCAGTCCACAAATGAATTGGGCAAATTTACTTGTCAAAACAAGATAAGAGTTTCTAAGTTAGTTCTTTAGGGTCCTTTGGACATTTTAGAAATTTTTGTTCATGAAAAAGTTAAAATTAACACATAGATCATTATTCTAAATTATTCTCTGAGAGTGTTTAGATCTATCTTAGGAAGTAATTGGTTGTTTTAGCAAAATAGCCAGACCCATAAAAATACACCTACAAAAGAATGCATTACATAGAAATCTTGCTATGACAATCTATGTAACATTTTTATATTGTATTTCATACATATTTATTTTTAAACTTATCTTTTATTTCAAAAATATAAAAGGTATATAAGGGATACACACATACACATACACTCTCACTTTTTACTAACTCGGTATGGTTAGTCAACTCCAACACCAGAGAACAGCATAGTATTTTCAAAAGGGAAAGCACTTCTCCAGTTATTGAAGGATTCTTTCTTATGTAGTCTATAGATCCAAAATGAATGTATTGACTCCATAAATTAGAAACAATCTTTCTATAGCATGACAAAAACTTTCATAATGAAAAATGAACAGAAGAATAGCACAATTTCAGTACTACTTAAACTAAAAAAAAAATTACACCTTGATTTAAGGTGACAACCATGTCAAATCACAAGTGCACATAAGAAAAAGGATGGTAAGAGTCAATTAATTAGTCACAGCTCACAGAACTTATGTTTGTTAAATAACTATAACCAGTCACACAGGGTACTCATAGAATGCCTTGCTATTTGGAAATGAGGAAATGTTGATCAAATACAGACCCAGTTTCCCAGCATGCACTGATTGGCGAGCAAGCATCTGGAGCTTGCATCTAGTGGGAAGTTGGCTTAATGGTGTATTAGGTACACCTGTAGAATAAATAAAGATTCTCATGACACAGCATCAATAATACAATAATGAAACATTCCACAACCAGAAACCAGAATGCTTCTTCAATATCAGACAATATAGTTCAAAACTGGATACCTAATGACTTTATCTTCAAAATTAGGCTTGGTTAAAACAGGAAAAGTATAAAGAGATATATTATAAAAATATGTAAGCATTATATGTTGTATATGTTGTTTGGATTTAAAAATGTTTCCTCCAAGAGTTCATAATGTTGCAAATAATTCCAGGATTTAAAAGGCCTCCACCCTTAAGAGTGCAGGTGTTGGTACCAAGAGGAGAGGGGCAGAGAATGTTCCTCTACTTTGGGTGGGATTTGTGGCAGGCAGCTGAGGATATAAAAATAAAATGGACTTCCACCTCTCCAGAAAATATTTATTATTTAATGATCCATCCTTTTACCTGGCTCCTTTTTATAACCTCATCATACTTCACATTGCATTGGCATTACATGTACTCATCTTTACTCATAAGCTTATTAATGACAGTGACCCTCCTGGAATTCACCTTTGGAGGCTTCATAGTGTCTAGCAGCATAAATGCACCTTGTATACAGTATACACTCACTGAAATGCAGAGTAAATTTTTATTTTAACAAATTGCTTTTAGGTCGATTATCAAATATTTGTTACTCATCTAAAGTACAGAATAGATGGATAATTATTTTAACATTTCTTAATAAATAATTAAAAGTATCACGTACCAAGGGAAAATTTAAAGAGAATTACTGAGTATGGTATTAACATGAAAAGGAGAGAAAAAAATATGCTCAACGCTTCTACTATTAGAAAGATCATCCCTGGCAAGTAAATAATCTCTACCATATGTGAGAAAAACACCAAAAAAGAAAACTAGAAAACCCTAAATAAACATTAAGTGGCTTGCCCAATTTAACTATGAACCTACAAATATCAGATGGGTTACTTACCTTAACTTGGAACCAATGATTTTTAAAAATCAGCTTTTAAAAGATTATAGGGAAGGAAAGCAAACAAAATTTTATTTTCCCTCTTCAGTATATCTAAATTGATAAAACTCCCCAAAACGCCAGCACACCCATAAAGATTTCAAGCACGGGGTCTCTGCAAACACTTTACAACAAGTATATTATGCACATTTATACAAACAGGTACATTGACAATTCCACTCATATTGCATAAGTCTAGGGAGTATGCCTCTAAAACAATGAGTATAAGTGAAGCAAAAAGAAGATGCTAAATTTGGTTTGTACCAATAGCTTACTAGCATATTTACATCATTTGTATATAAGATATATCACTAACAGATATTAAGCCTGTTCAATTGCTACTACACACGTCTCTTCATATTTAACAAGCATTATTGGTTGCTAAAAAATGTACAAACTTATCATTAGAATTTATCCAAACTTTCCTCTACATCTCAAGACTATGGTATTTACTCATGGGTAACAAATAAGAATATTTTACTTAATTTCTCACCAGTTATCTATCCTCATACTTTTTTTTTTTACTGTTAATGAAATTTTTTTTATTTTCTAATTTTAGTATCATTAATCTACAATTACAGAAAGAACATTATGTTTACTAGGTTCCTCCCTTTACCAAGTCCCCCCCACATACCCCTTCACAGTCACTGTCCATCTGCGT